TTTAATCTATTTCATAAAATAGGTTAAAAACAGTTCTTAAAAATAGTATTTAAATACATTTAAAATAGTGCTTGGTTTGGTAAGGGTTAGACATCCCCAAAGTAACGGACTTTTGTCTTTGGCTTCAGTAAACATTCAGGCCGTTGTTAACAGTACAGACAGCACTTGAGCTACAAGTAAACTTAATTTTGCCGATAACATTTGCCAATGACACCCTCGAGCTCGAGTCAAGTAGCAGAATGAACAAACAATAAAGATTTGTAATTCTTTCAGCTCTAATGCTTCAAGTGACGACATTACCACGCAGTAAGAGACCAAAAATAAGAAAGAAAACACCAATAGAGGTTTTGCACGGCAGCCATGTTGCTTGGCAGGAACAATGGAAATGTTTTGCATTAGAAATAACATTTTTTTCCCATAGGAAAAAGACTATGCAACGTGGCTCCCGTGCAAACCTCAATTGGGCTGTTTGTTTCTGTTTCCCTACCCTCTTTGGTGCTCTCGTTTCCTGCGTGCTTTACAACAGAACAAAGCACAGTTGAGGCATTTTTATTTGTTAAAAGATGGCCCGTCTTTAGTATCCAATTTGGCTCGTACCGTGCTGTGGCTGAGCACAAAATTATAATTGCAGAAATGAGGGGACATCACTTAAAGAAGTTGAAGAAAGTAAATGTGTTTCAAAGGAGACCAAAGTTGTTGACGAAAAGAGTGTCGAGTGCCAAGTTGAGGCGGCTGATTCAAGCTATGTAAGGTAATCACTAGTGGTACTTATGCATAAAGTATGATGCTTCTTCAACCTGTTGGAATAAATTTTTGTCATCAATGGCATCAATAATTATGCCCGATCAGGATATTCCTGAAGACGTCATTGGAGAGGCTCTCCTGGTTTTTGTCTCAAGTAAACCACTCATATTTCCAGCCTTTCCCAGATATATAAGGCTATTTACGATGGAATTATTATAAAAATATCTGAGGTTTGTTTTTGTTTTGTTTTTTCGCTGCAAGGGGAAAAAGATATTTTGGATACTCCACACTCGAGCAAAGATGTGGAAAATATATGCTATTTATGAGTAAATACATTTTTTCAACATTTGCCAAAAATTGATACTAAAATATTATATTTCACAGAGATTTGAGGGAAGAACTGCGTGAGTGTAAACGAGATCTTGGAGCAAAAGAAAGAGAAATTGAATCACTTATGAGAAGGTAGGAGTCATCGGATCATTTCTAATATGAGGGTTAAGGGTGGTTGTATCCTTTTTCTAGCCCAAATTTTTCCCAAGTCCCATTTCCAGCCTATGTTTTCGCCTAAATCCCAGTTCCAGTCCAGGTCCCTGTGACTCACGTCTCATTTTCCCATGCAAATCCAAGTTCCCATCATATTTATTGAGTTCCTTTAATATAAACAGTCACATTTCTGATTGTGAAGCTAACCTGCTGAGAGTTCACCTCCACAGCCTCGCTGTTTATCGACGAAGTTAAGATTATGAATAAGAGCCACTACAACTATTTCACTCCCCGCTGGACGAAATGCTGGTCGATCACAGGGTTACCCGCGATTTTTATTAATTCGCCAGTAGTCCACATCTGTGTGGAAAGAGCCACTGTGAGCGTAAATGCAACACAATGAACTCGGCCAGGGCCCGAAACCCGGAGTATAACCCACTCAATATTAAGCCAACAAGCCTTCCACTTTTGTATTATGTGTAAATTCTATCATCCCACTTTCCGACTTGCTAAATAACGCATAAGGTTTAACTTGTAAATGCAATCAACCTCAGTAGTGCGTCACTGTTCTTTTAAAGAGTGGCACATTACAGTGACATGCGAACCAAGCAGGATCAACGACATGTTGAAGACACCCTTAGTTTAAACAGACAGTCCAGGGTGGAACAGGATTTTAAAGCTTTTGCCAGTGATGAGCGTATTGATACCTGCATCATGATCCGAGGGAAATACCAGGAGGAAACGGATATCAATGCGAAAAGATTAACCTGTATGATGTTTGAGGTTGGTGCTCTTTTTTGATTGCGTTAGTGTACCCAGGTTTTAAGATCGCTATTTGGTATTTCGATAGCCTGTCAAAAATGTCCTTTTTTACGAACAGGTAGTTTACGAGTATGTTTTGGACACGAACAGAGCCATGGTTGACGTTTTGAAAGAAGTAGCCAAGTTTGCAGTGGTAAAAGGTCCAAATATCGGTCATGACTGCTTTAAAAAAAAAATGGCGAAGGTAGGCTTTAGCTCTGTAACGTATTTGTCGCGGTAATTTTAGTTTCGGAGCTTGCAAAGTACCAATATGTCCTTTGAGAATACTGGGCTATGTGATTTTATTAATTGTGTTGGCTTATTCACTCAATCATGCATGATCATTCTATGATTCCTTTACTTGTCCACATTTTTTTTTCGTTTGATTAGTTATCTATGTAAGAAACTCAAATTGAGCAATAGAAATAAAAAAGACTACTCTTAACAACAGACTCAGTGAGCAGTGCATCTAAATTATCGTCTACATAACAGACCTTATAGGCTCAATGTAGTATTGAATCGAATCATACTCCTAATCAGCATATTTCATTGGGGGATGATTATGAAACTCGACAAAGTTCTTTGTTGTATTTAAAAATTGAGTATATGTAGTCAGGAGATGACATAATCGATAAAAGTGCCGTTTTTTGTCACTGACTTGTATATTTTAGCAAGACGTTTCGGCTAACTCTTAAGCCTTCATCAGTTGAAAGACCGCTTGATGTTACGCGCGATTTAAAAACTTTTTTAAAATTGAAACGTTGCGCGTGCTGTATGCGCGTGACTCGAGAAAATTTTAAGTGCGTGCCAAGCACTTGTAGACTTCAGGGATGACTATGTGATCATTCCNAATGTGCCTCATGTCCGACGACGTCAACGTTTTCAAAATCCATGTGATGATGACATTCGTGAACATGGCACGCAAGTTTGGAGTTATGATCGAACATCAAGACAGCCTTTTTGTGCTCGGGAACCCGCATCTTCAGTGATCTTTCGGTCTGGCCATAGTATACAAAATCGCACTGACTGTAATTGATTCTGTACACTACTCCAGATGAAAAAATAATAATAATCTTTATTGAGGAAACTTTTCCACGTACATGTGGTTTTCGAAAAGGACTTCAAAGATTAATACTAATTAATAGAACTAAAAATATGAAATTTGTAGAACACTTAAGTTAAAAAATTAAAAACCTGTCTCTTAAAAATATTTACATTAGCAGAGTCGCGTATTATCTGGCTGTAAGAATTAAAATCATTAATAGCGTGATAGGCAGTTCTTTGTTTTTCCCAATTCGTTCTAACGCAGGGGAGTCTAAGATTGACTTTATGATGGACGGTCGGTTTCATCCTGCTGTTTCGGTCGAGGAAAAAGACTGTTGATGGTTATCTTTTTGTTCTCTTTTTTGCCCTTGACCGTGCGCAAAACGCAACAGTTGTTTACCACCGACTGAGGAACTAACTAATAGAAACGTTTCGGTTACGTTATTCATGCATATAGTGTATGAGCGCAAGACAAAAGATTGTGCACGGTCGTGGAACTTCCAACATAACTTTTGGCATCTTTGTTTGCTCTTTTAATGCTTGCCAGGCTTCATAACCATTCCTTTCTATTACCTATGTCTCCAGCAGAGAACTGAAGGCCAAACAATGCCTTTTGAGGTTCCTTTATGCGGCAGTGGATCGGAATATCCTAGGGATGTCGTCGATGTGGTATTGCTGGCTATCAAAGAATTGGCCCCAAAGATCGACACTGATATCTTCTTAGAGGTCAGTTTTTTTTTTGTTTTTTTGTTTTTTTATTATTATTATTATTGTTATTCTAATAGGCATTTTCTTTGAAACACAGTTTTAAGATAAAACAATCGATCTAAAACGACGTTCTGACCTCTTTGAGGATTAAAACGTTTGCATATATGAGTAAAACTAAGACTTGAGAATCTGAAAAGCGATGAAAAAAACACATTGTTTTGAATTGTGGTTAGACACATGAACAGCACCACGATTTTGTTTTGGTACTAATGACACCCAAATTTTCATCATTAGATAATAATTGTACCTATACTGCGCCCGTTCTTGATCAAGGACATGCTCTCCTTTTTATTTCTTATAACTAAACCTCTGATTTCCGTGTCATTTATGTCAAGGACGTCAAGCAAAAAATCTCCCAAGAACTAAAGAAAGAGCAGTCTCCTGAACTTGTAAAATTAGTAGACGCCCAGCTGAACGATTACTTAAAGGCTTGCATCACGTTAACGTGGCGTATGGTTACACAAGCTCCACCACTGAGGCTTGAATATCAATCCTTCACTTACAAGAGAGAGTGTCACAAAATCGTGGAATCCCATGGCGATGCACGAGACGGCCGATCGATGTACCAGAATGAAAAGGTTAATTATCTGTGGCCTGGTTTGGTGGATGGAGGAGGAAGAATTATTGTTAAAGGCGAAGTTGCTCTAGAAAAGTAGTCACAGAGTTAACTTCACACAAGTTGCTTAAGAACCTTACACAACTCTTTAGGACTCAGAACGTAGAGAAAATGACTTCAGGATGGCGACGGGTTCCATACCATGCCATTACAGTTGTGCTTTGGTGACATTCTTTTTTTGTAGTCAATATTTGAAACTGACTTTAAGGTTACTTCCTACCTTCGCAGGTGCCCTTCGGGAAAAAATCGTACGCGCGCCAGTTTCAATAAAACCCCAACAAACTATATATCATAAGAAACCTTAATAAATGTACTTTACGAAAAAAAAATACAATTTCAGCAATGTTTTCTTTTAGGAAATGTCAGGAGGCGGTAAGGCCTGAAACGACCGA